TTTCACAACTTTGCAAATTTCCTCTCTTCTGATTATTTCCTGACAGTCCCAGGCGTTGGTGGTAAACAGGCACTCTCCCCAGAATGTTTCCCTCAGACTGCAGCTTTCTCTGGCTAGAGCCCGATCAACACTTGGCAGGGCCTCCTCCCGGCTCCCAGCTCCCGGTTCCTGGCTCCTGGCTTTCGGCTCCCCTGGCTCTTGACTCCCAACTCGAGCCGGAGCTCCAAGCAACCGAAACCTCTTAAGAGGTGTTGGAGAATGAAGAGACCCTCTAGGTGCTGGAACAGGGTCTGGGGCTCCAAGAAGGCATGCCTGGTCCCCCAGGTTTCTTTGTTACTCGCAACAGCCTGGCCTGACCTCTCCCCTCCCTGGGAGCCTCAAATGGCCCCACTTGTGCATGGTCCTTGGGAGTTAAGGCAGATGGTGTCAGATGTCTGCTGGCTCCCACAGACCTGGTGCCGCATTCTTGGCACAGCTCAGCGGCAGCAAAGACCCTGGGCTGCTCTGCCAGGCCCGCCTGTGGCGGCGAGACCAGCAGCGTCTTGGCCCCACAGCCGCTGTGGTCTGCGTCACACTGGCTTAGGTGTCCTGAGTCAGAGCCAGGAAATGGATCTGCCGTGTGTGGGGGGTGGAGATGGAGTCACTGCCGCCTTGCCGGGCAGATGGGGTGAACTCCACCCCTCCTGCTGCTTGTCCACACCTGGAATGTGGGGTGGGTAGGGCGGTGCTTGTCCCCCTGTGTGTCCCTCCTCTGGCCTGGCCTGGCCTGGGTTTGACTAGAGCTTTCAGAAGAGGCTGAAGTCACAGCCTGCTCCGTACTCTACTGCCAGGCCTCAAGCCTCCAACTTGGCATGACCAACAGCTGCCAGTCAAGACAGGCAGGGCTGTGGTTGACAGGAAGGGCGCTGAGACACATGCACAGCTGCCTGCCTTCGCCTCGGGCTGTCCCCCCTCACTTTCTGTGTGGTCTATTCTTCCTATCCAAAAAGTGACGCACATGTAACTTTTCCAGTGACATTCTTCTCGGCCCAGGCTGCCCGCTGCCCACCACCCTCCACCTCTGGCTGTGTCATGTCGTTTTCTCCCTGCAAGGGACTCTCCCTCCGAAAGAGAACAAGTTTGTCTGTGCAACCTGCAGGTCTGATATATAGTAGCAGGCACTCAGTAAAAGTAACCTGGGTTTCATCGGGTGGTGCTGGAGTCTCTTTTTGTTCATGATACCAGGAAGAGGGCAGGCAATGGCACATGGAGAAGCCAACCCCTGATCCTGCTCCCTCCTCGCTGCAGCCTCCTCCCCGTTTCGGGTGCTGGGGGAGATTGTTGGCAGAACCCTCCCCCCCCCCCAATGTCTACCCAGCTCCGCTTTCTTGCCAGCAGGTACTGGTTCCCCGGACTGCCTGAGTGATCACTCCAGAAAACACCCCAGTGGAAACTGCATGAATGATTGATAAGAGCTGAGAGCTGTTTAATTTTTTCCCCCTGTTTAATGGCTATCAATAATTTAATACGCTCTCTGTATGTTTTTAAGAAATAGCACCCATTTTGCCGTCTCCGGTTTAGCAGGCTAAATGATTTAAGTGTTGGAAATGCACTCCAAGGGTGGGGGCTGAGCCAGTCAGAGCTATCTGGAGGCTGAGGATGGGGGTAGGGGGCAGGTTCAAAGCCAGCCTAGGCATCTTGGCCAGGGCCAAGTGTGTGTGCGTGTGTGCGTGTGTGTGTGTGTGTGTGTGTGTGTGTGTGTGTGTGTGTGTGTGAAGGTGGGTAGGAGGGAGGGAAGGAGGAGGGAGGAAAAGGTGGGTAAAAGCCAGTACCTTGGCTATGAGCAAAATAATTGCTCCCCCCCACAGCCTTACTGAGCAGTGGCTGAGCTGCTGGCAGCTTTGCACCCCCTAGGAGGCTGAGCTTTTCTGGATGGCTTTGGCAGGGGTGCCCTGCGTGGTCTAGGAAGGAGCTGTTGGTGCTATCACCAGGGACTGAGAACGTCCTTCCTTTGTCACCACCCACCTGGTCACCAAGTGTCTCCAGGATGGGAGGACCTGGGCAGGGTGGAGGGGGCGTGGAGCATCTGGGATTACTCATCTCTGATCCCAGAGGGAGCTGGGCAATCGTCTGCCCAGGGCTTTCCCCAAAGTTTCCAGGTGCAGGTCACCTGGGGGGGCCCTGGCCTCCCACCGTCAGGGGACAAACCTGGAAGCAGTGATTTTGACCAACTGAGCAAGGTGACTCCATACCAGAGTTTAGCAAATACAGTGTCCAGTGCCTTCTGATGCTAACAGCACCTACAGCCCCCACAGCTGCTTCCCTGTGCTTGCACACCTCTGGGGACCAGGCACCTCAGTATCCCAGGACACAGCAGATATTCCAAATCTGAGTCCCTTCTGAGGTCAGCCCACAGCCTGCTTGGCTGCACTTGTGCGCTGTGTAGTTTTGTCTGCTGCGGCACAGAATGGAGTCCCCAGGGCCTTCCTTTCCCAGGCTGGCCACTTGGGTTTATCTGTGCCTCTGTTGGGCCAGGAGCTTCCTCTCTTTGGCACAGCATGCCTGAGACAGAAGGCAGGCAGGTGACGGGCACACCAAGGGGGCTGTAGCCACCTGCTGCTGACAGGCACTGTGGCTGGCACTGGGGACTCTGAGGAAGACGCTGGCCTATCAAGGGCTTGGACTCTGTAGGAGCAAAAAGCTGTGACTCATTGAAGATCCCTGAGTAGCCCAGGTCTTTCAACTGAAAGGAGGAGAAACTGAGGTTTCAGGGGGCTTCCCTAGGGGCTGCACCTCCATTTGGGACATAATTGGAATTGCAAAGATGAGGTCCAGAGGAACACTAAGGGGATCGGGTACCCCCCTGGAGGCTGTGGGTATGGCTGAGTCACACGGGTGGGTGGGGCTGTCTGCCACGGCAATGCTTCCTGGTCCTCACAAACAGCGTGTGTTAGTAGCAGAAGGTGCATGCTGTGTGACTGCCAGTCTGCCGGGTTTGTTTTCACAGGTAATTATGAGGGGAGGAGGGGGAGTGCATTGTCTACTGATGTCATCAGCCACTGCAGAGTGGGGAGCCCATGAGTCCCTCCCACCCACCCTGTTGGCTGCCAGTGTATCCCCCAACCTCAGCCCTGTGCCCTGAGCCTGGGCCCCCTGGGGGACTGCTGCCCAGGCTGGGGCTGGTATTGCACCTGCCATATGACTACTATGTCCCTCATCTGCTGCAGCCTGCTCTGAGCATCCCAGTCCAGCTATGGGGGGCTCAACCCTGGACAGAAAGAGGGGAGCAGCCTGCCCCTGACCAAGAAGCCTCTGTGTGGACGAGGCCCTGAAGGTCACGGAAGGGATCAGGGAAGTTGTCTGGGGACATGATAGAAAGGGGTGGGCACCCTAGGTGCAGAGACATGAGGGGGGCACTGGTGTGTGCAGGCAGGTGCGTGGAGCCAGTGCCTGGGTGGATAACTGGAAGGGTTTGTTTTTTTCTTTCTATTGAAGTGTGACATTCATGCAGGAGGGTGGTGTTTCTTACATGGGTGGCTCCATGCATTGCTTCCCAGTAACCATGCTTGTTCACCTGTGTACATGGACGCCCCCATGTTCTGGGCGGCCTCAGCCCCTCTCTGTCTTCTGATGGAATACACTGGAGGCAGGGCTCCTCGAGGCCTCCTCTCTGTAACTCCCCAGGCACCACTCTGACAGGATCCTCTGGATCCAGACCAGACTGAGGATGCAGAGAAAGTTGCAAAGACTCCGTGATCATATGGAGTCTGCTGTAAGCCTAGGTTTGCCTCTTCTTGACCTTTAGGAAAATGGGTGTCTTTAGAGTGCTTTCAGCTGTGTCTAGCTTTTTTGTGTCAACACTAAGTTTACCAGATGTATTCATGTGGTTGGCTGCAGTTTCATAGCGTTTCTTCTTAATGCTGGAGGGGGAGCAGGTAATGCACTGTGTGGGCTCACTGCTATGACCGCTCTGTAGGCGAAAGCCATTTGGGAAGCTTTGTTTCTTGGTGAATATGGACTGTGTTGTTGGGAACATTCTGGTGTGTGCCTTTGCATGAACAAATGCATCTGAGTAAGAGATGCTTGCCAGCTGTTCTCAGATGTGGGGGTGCCAATGTGCACCCCAGCAGCCATGTTCAGGAGACCCACACAATGACCTGCAGCCTGGGGAAGGCAGAGCTGTCACACAGAGTGGCACTGCTCAGAATATGACCTCCCCTGGGGACCCTCTCTGCTCTTCCTAGGAGCTGTCTGTCTCTGATGGTTCAGGACAGGGGCAAGCCCAGGGGACCATGGGTTCTGCTCCACCCAGGCCTTTCCTCCCTCTCCCTGTAGGATGGTGGGAGAAAGTGTTTCTTCTTCATCTGAATGTGCTTTAGCAACCTGGCCCCCATATTCTAGAACCTCCCAGGGCCAGGACATGGGGAGGTCCTGGAGGTACCTGTGGACTTTCTGGTTTTGAGGTGTTTCTGTTCTGCTCACTCAGCATCATCACTGTGCCATTCATTCTTGCCTCCACCAAGCAGTCTTTGGCCCTCGCTAACAAGCTAAGGGCATGGAGATTGAAAACATACTCAATTCTGGTGTCTAGGAATTTCATCCAGAGAGAGACTGACCTGCAGAAAGCTAGGGGAGACACAGTCAGCTGGGTCCAAGTACAACGGATAAAGACAGGGAAAGGCAGGTCGGGAAGGGTGCCCAGAAGCTTCAGGGCCATGGTTCGAAGGCCACTAGAACCTGAAGAGACCGAGATGAGTGGGGAGGCAAGCTCAGAGGTCTGGGAGGCCAGCCATGGGCACTGCCAGTGTGGCTCTTGCTGTTGTCCAAGGCTGCCTCTGGGGCCTGACAGGTCACATTTAGGGGGAGAGATGGAGAGTACACCCCATCTCCAGCATAACTCCACTTGGGCGAGCCAGCTCCCTGGATTTGGCTAGATGGGGGTCCTAGGCAAGCGGGAGAGGCAGGGGCTGCTCCCAGGGTCAGGGTGTGGAGCTCACTGACCCCTTTTCTATCTTTGCAGGACTTACACCAGTGGGGCTGGGCTGTACCCAGGCTACTGGGCAGCTGCCTTCTTCACCCAGCAGCCTCCTTTCCTGGAACCCTCCACAGTTTCAAGTCCTGGCCCACTGACAGAGGTGTGAGCAGGTAAGTGGGAGGGACCTGCTGCCAGGGCAGAAGCATGTGCTGTCTCAGATCCAGAGAGCTGAGAGGGTGCGGGCCGGAGCTCTCCGTTTCTGCTTGTGTTTTGGCATTCTCTTCTCTGCAAAGGGTGGATAGGACCCTGACCTGGTCCTAGGACATCTGGTTTTACTCTGATGCTAACTCGCGTGTGACCTCGGGTCACCGTGTCTGTCCTCCCAGCACTGACAGGCATTGGTGTTGGCCATCTAGCCTGACCACAGTACCCATGATGCTATGAGCTCGGGGCTGGCCACCAAATACTGTACTGAGTACTCCACAGTTACTGACATATGTGTTCATGACAAGCCTGTCCTCACCACCAATGTACAGTCAGGTGGGAACTTGCATACACCTGCTGAGCCTGGGACACTGTGAGCTGGGGTCCTTGTTCTCCAGCATGCCAGCCCCTGGACTCCTGGCCACTCTGCCCATTCTGTGACCATAAGTGTCATCAGTATTGTTCAGTCTCAAGGCTAAGGGAGAGGCATTTGTAAGAGTAGTGGCCACTCTTGGTCCAGGTGAATTTGAAGTGGCTCCAACCAGACCTGTCCCCCAGGGTTCCTCCTCAGTGGTCCCTGGCGTACCCTCTAGAGGAATGATGTTGCTGGACAAAGCTCTCTTTCTATCCCCACCTTGTGTCCCCAAGTCTGTATTTGGCACTAAATGTGCCTGACTTACAACATAGGTAATGTGATGCAAGGGAAAGGAAGAGTGTCCTGATAGAGCTAGCCGTGCGACAGCAAGGTGCACAGGCTTCAGAGACTAAGGGGGGCGTGCAGGGGAGCTGGCCCAGAATTGAGGAGTAGCTGGTAGGTGGGAAAGCATGGCAGGATGGGAAGGATGTTGGCCAGGGGATCATGCCACTCTGACTGCGTTTCCAGCCTCCTCCAGCCTCCTCCAGCCCATCTCCCTCTCTACACAGAAATTCTAGTTATCAGGAGTGATTCTAGAGGATTGTAAAGGGCCCCAGCTGTCTGGATTGGGTACTGGTGAGCTACTGAGGGTTCTAAGTCAGGGAGTGCTATCATGGGTGTGTGCTTTAGCCTGACCCCTGTGGCTGACACAGAGGGGCCTTGACTGGATGCAGGGGGACCAGTAGGCTGTCCCTCTCCTGGTGGGTGAGAAGAAGGCTGAGAAATGGACAGAGTTTGCAATGGCTGCTGGGGGTAGGGAGTGATGGTACCTGGTTAGGACAGTGACTGTGATGTGGTGGGGGATCCTGGAAGGCTCCTTGGAGGAGGTAGGTGCAGGTTGCAGCCCACAATATCTCGGAGACATCCACAGTTGTCCTGAGTATGAAGAGAACTTAGATGGCCTTTCTGGGCCTAAGGTTCTCCCTTCAAGTACAGATATACACACAAGCATCTTCATGTGTGTACCTGGGCCTGGGACTTCCTCAACTCACAGGCTGAGCTGTGCCCATGCACCCTGCACACACACATGCTTGTGCAGTGTAGACACACAGTCTCCCGGAATTGGGATCAGCTACTTGGTTGAGAATGTGATCCTGTTAGTAAATGAGGATGGCGACAGCAGAATGGGGTCCTTCTAAGTGTGGGATCCTGTGCACCTACCCGTGAAGGGGAGCCGAGAGAGGGTGAAGTACCTGTGTGGGCTCCACCTGTTTCTTGCCGGCCCAGAAATGCTGGACATGTCTCCTTCACTGTTGGGAACATCAGCTGCCAGGAGCATGAGGATGCCCTCCTCCTTGCCACAGGAGGCTCCATGGGATCAGCATCCAGCTTGTCTTACATTCCAGGGACAGATGCCTGGGCGAGGGCAGGATGCAGTTTCCCTATTGCCCAGTCACTCGGTGGCAGTCAGGGCTCCCCTGACCCACCCCTGCCAACCTCCCAACCTGTCCCTGCATCCCTTGGTGGCCTGGCTTTTCTGTGTTTTTGTGATCTGTCAGGCTTATCCGTGGTGGGGCCTAAAGGAGTGTGCTCTGTTCTGGGCAGAGAGTTCTGCTGGACTGCCTCTTGCCAGCCTGCTTGTTGGTGCCTGGCAGACTCATTCCTGCATGTTACAATTCTCTGGGCCCCCACCTCTCTCTCCTGCAGCAACTACACTTACCTTTTACACCTAGCATTTGGTATCTGGTGCAACCTATTCCCATTTACCAGATAGGAAAATAGAGGCTCAGAAACGCCATTCCCACCCCAAGCTTCTAGGCTATGGTCAAGCCCATGTCATACTTGTGGTAGTGGCAGTGCTAGCCCCTGGGACAGACTCACATTGCTACTTTTTGTAGAGGCTGCAGCCCACGGCCCACGAGAGGTGCCTCTTGGGCCCTGGAGGTCCAGACAGCTGGAGTAGGTAAGTCCCCAGGCCTGTCCATCCTTGCAAGTAGCATGGCTTAGTTCACACAGTCAGTGGGACAGATGTGTGAGATGCTTAAGGTGGGATGAGCTCCACACCAGGTGTCGTGAGAAGGCCCCAGTTAGCCCAGGCCATAATAGCCAGTCTTTGCTGGTCACAGAAGAGGGTACTTTGTCAGGGATATGCCCTACTGTCCCCACATTTGAACAAGGCACACCATTGGTGACTGGGGGAGCAGCCGCTGCCATAATTCCATATCTGGGCACATCGCCATGCCTTTCTTTGTGGCCACAGATTAGTGACTTACCCTCTCTGTGCCCTATTTTCTCTTCTGCAAGGTAAAGGGACTATGAGGCTAGCTTGCTGCAATCCATGGTGCATACCTGCATGGTAGCACCCGGCAGTGGACCAGCCACTTTGTGGTGTGTGCCCAAAAGTGGACACCACATGCATATGAGCACCAGGCTATCCCCAGTGCCCAGTGGGCACACGGGTGTGGGGCTGCACAGTCATCCAAGAAGCAGATAAGAGCGTGCTGGGATTGGGATGGGGCTGAACTTGAGTTTCCCGTACGGCCATCTCAGGCAGCTGTTGCTCCAAGCCCTGTGAGTGGCCGCCAGGGGCGAAGGCCACAGTCCTCTCCCCCGGCAGGGAGTGTGGCCTCCTGCCACCAGTGTCTGTCAGCAGGCTTCCAGGATTACGCACGTGGGTTGAGGACTGACCCAGCCCAGCTCCCAGCAGCACTGGCTGCAACCCAGCCCATGGTCCTGCAGAACTGGGATTCCAGGGTCCACATGTAGCATGCCTGTCAAGTCGACAGTGCCAGCTGAGAATGCAGACTCCCCCTCCCCTCCCTGGCCCTGAGGCTGTTTGTTTGCAGGCTGAAGCCCTTCAAAACCTGCCCTATACCCTGCACCCTGTCCCAGGCCTGGAGCAGAAAGAACCTGTGGCCCACTGCTTGCTCTTTCCTGGCTGCATCAGCAGAGCAGGGCTGTTGTCCTGGTGGGCCCTCCAAGTAGGACTTGCATCCAAGCCCTGGGTCACTGGAGGCCTATTGGGTGACCTTGGTCAAATTACTGCCCCCTCTCTGATCTGTTGTCTGTTGGTCTGTAAAACCAAAGAGTTGGGTCAGGGGTCACCAGCCATAGTCTTCCAGGGCACCAAGAACCCAGGGAACGGGACTGTCCTGTTGTGCAGATGGGCACACTTGAAGCACACAGAGATAAGGTGATTTACCCAGAGGTACAGAGCTGTGGCTGTGATGCCATAATGTTTTGCCACTAGGTCAGTTGGGCACTCCCAGGTCTTTGTATGCTTGCTGAGTAATCCATTCCTTGCATCAGCTGGGGGTAGAACGAGTCCTTGAATCTCAGCAACCTACTGAACATCCTATGAAAGCCAGGAGGGTTGATCTCTGTACCAGCAGGAACAGGGGGCAGGTGCCTTTTAGCCTCTGGGAGGTGGAGTAGGGGGGTTGCACACCAGTGGAAGAGTTAGTCTTCCAGGAGCTGTGAACAGGTACCAGGATTCTAAACAAGAGAGAGCTTGGGGAGTTGGTGGACATTTGGCCATGGATGCTGAGCCCAGGCCTTCTCTCTGGCTACAGAGAGTTGGGCCAGGACTTGTGGTTTTTTGGGGGCCTGGGGCAGGCCCACCCAAGGGCCTAAGGCTGGGTTTTCTAGGGTAGGCTTCACTTTCCTTCTCCCTAGGTCCATGAGATGAGTCCTCCCAAGGGTATGGCTGGCTTAGCCTCCATGCCAAGGGCCACTCATGACAGCGTCAGGCTTGCAAACTGCTGTGGGCACTGAGGATGCCCGGTGCCCTCAGGGGAGTGGCTGTTCTCCACAGCCCTAGGCTCAGCCCAGTATACGTTTGCTGAACCACTGCAGATCCACAGCAGCCTCTCTCTCTTGCCTTGCTGTCATCAGCAGGGTCACAGCCATGGGAGTCTTGGACACCGAGTACCTAATGTTGCACAACCTACCCTGTCCCCTCCCACTTCTCTCTGCCCCAGGCAGTGTGCGCAGCGGTCAGCTCCGGGCCGCTGGCACAGGCTCCTGCTAGGGAAGCCCAGAATTATTTTCTGGAATAATCCAGCAGCCAGCTCATGGCAGGATGGCAGCCACAGCCCCACCCTGACTCATCTCAGCCTCCACACATCAAGGAGGGGCTCATGGAGGCAAAAACAAGAGTCACAGCAGATAGAAGCCTAGCTGGGACACGAACCAAGGATCCAGGCTTTTGGTTAGGCTCCTCAGTGGAACCAGCTAGTGTTTGCTGTTGAGTCAAGGGAGGCAGTGGCAACACACCACCTCACTCCTGTGCCCCAGCAGCTTTAATTAGCTGGGTCTGCCCGTGGTGCTGACATTTACCTGGTGGGAGGAGTGCTGGGCTCTCTTGAAAATGGGGCTAAAAATAACCAGGCCAGGCTTCCAGGGGCCCCTGCAGCGACCTTTCTCGTAGGTGCTGGAAGCTAATTGCTTTGAGAGCTGAGTGCGTGCAACTCCTTGTGGGGCCAGAGAGGCGTTAGGTCTGAGGAAGAGTTTTGCCAGGTCACCTGCCCTGCAGGTAGCAGAGCCTTGGGCCACTGCCCAAACCCTCCAGCCTCTCTCCTCCTCTTCAATCTGTGGGTGCAGTACCTGGAA